GTATGATCCTGTGTACATGTATGATCCTGTGTACATGTATTATCCTGTGTACATGTACTATCCTGTGTATACGCATTATCCTGTTTTAGCTGGCACCTCTGTAGACTGCTCAATATTAGTGTGAATGAATGAATGCCGAATGAATGTATAACCGCCGCTGTAATATTGGTTGCCAGGGACATTCAGATGGCTAATTCAGAATTTACGAGTGGCACTGGTTTATATACAGGGCTGTATCGTTGAACGCTGCATTTCTGCTCAGTATATACTCCAATTTATATGTAAGGGTTACTCAAGGGAAACTAATACTATTCTTAATAGACACGTGTCTGTTCTATATATAGCCAGTAGCACTCTGTAACTTCCACTCAAGGGAAAATTCTAAAAATGTGTCCTTTTTAGACACATGTCCCTTTTATAGGGGTTTTCAGCTACACGGGTAATGACTGCATATGGGTTTCTGATATTATATTGCTGTTCTCACGTTATCACGAGGTCAATAATTGTGCATTTATGTTGCAGCAAAACCACAAGCAGAGAGAGGGTGTCCAGTCGGGCCTGATCAAGGAGGTGGAGGACTCAGAGCAGGACGATTGGATGACCGTGAGCGTATCGATTGACTACCACTCGGCAAAGAAGCAACCAGGCAGTCGGGTAACATTGTCGCTGGGGTCGCATTCTGCGTCCCGTTGTCGGAAACAAATTAAGTTTTAACACAGACTTTTTCGCCAAGGCCATTAACAGAAACATTGTAAAGTTATGAGAATGAAAAACCCTAGCAATTTTTCTCATACGTTTACGAAAGGTTAGTATTAAGAACGAGTAATGTTAATACTAATTTTGTTTCTGACAACGGGTGCCTAGTTCATGAGAGGCACGGAGATATGTGAGAAGTTACTGTAGTGACAAATAGGGATGGTACGTAATTGGATGGTAAATGGAATGTTTAGCACACGAGTGTGTAACATAATAATATCAGGAGTGGATAATAGGGAGGAGTGTGTCAACAATAAACAAGGGAAATTCGTCATTTACTAGCCTT